TATCTATCTATCTATCTATCTATCTATCTATCTATCTATCTATCTATCTATCTATATGTGTGTGTGTGTAAAGACTACTCATCTGTCAGTTTGTTGTACTGTAGTGGCTTGTGTGTTGCTTTGATTCTGTAGGATATGCCATGGGAATTTCAAATACCAGCAGGGTCACCCATGGTGGACAAGTTTAAGCTGAGCTTCCAAATGAAGACAGACTAGGCAGAAGGTGAGATTGACTACTTCCAAATATTCAGTCACTGAAAACCTTACAAATAATAGTGGAAAACTGTCAGCACCAAATTATTGAATATTAAAGCATGATGAAGAGCTCCAAATATTGTCAGATACAGTCTTGGAAGATGATACCCTCAGGTGGGAAGACACTCAAAATGCGACTGGAAAAGAACTGCATCCTTGAAGTAGAATTGACCATGATGATATGAATGGAGTAAAGACCTTGGAACCTTCATTTGCACATGGGACACAACTCAAAATGAGGAAAAACAGCTGTAAACATCCATTAATAATCGGAACATGGAATGTATGAAGTATGAGTCTAGAAAAATTAAAAATTGTCAAAAATGAAATGTAACACATAAACATTGATATCCTAGGCATCAATGTTTGAAACACTGAGCTGAAATGGACTGGAGTTGACCATTTTGAATCTTACAATAACATGGTTTACTATGCCAGGGATGACTAACTGAAGAGGAAAGGTGTTGCATTCATCATCAAAAAGAAAATATCAAGATCAGTCATGAAGTGCAACACTGTCTGTGATAGAATAATATTCATATGCCAGTAAAGAAGAATAGTTAATACCACCATTACTCAAATTTACTCGACAACCACTAAAACAGTGATGATGAAATTGAATTCTATCAATTTATTCAGATTTAAATTGATCAAGCATGTAATCAAGATATATTGATAATTACTGGTGATTGGATGGCAAAGGTTGGAAACAAAGAGAAAGGACCAGTTGTTGGAAAATATTAACAGATGATACAACTTTGCTTATTGAAAGCAAAAAGAGGACTTAAAATACTTACTGATGAAGATCAAAGACCAAAGTTTTAGGTTTGGGTTGCATCTCAATGTAAAAAAAAAAATCCTCACCGTGGTACCAATAAACAACATCCTTAAATATTGAGAAAAGATTGATGCTTCCAAAGGCTTCATTTTGATCAGATCAACCATGGCAGCAGCAGTCAAGAAATCAAACAACATATTGCATTGGGCAAGTATGCTGTAATAGACCTCTTTAAAGTGTGGAAGAGCCAAAATGTCAGTTTGAGGACTAAGGCAAGCCTGACCTAAGCCATGGTATTTTCAATACTCTCATATGCATGCAAACATTTGGATAGTGAATAAGGACCACCACAGAAGAATGGATACATTTGAGTTATGGTGTTGGAGGAGAATATTTAAAGTACCATGGACTGCCAAAAGAACAAATAGATCTGTGTTAGAAGAAATGGTCAGAGTGGTCCTTGGAAGCCAGGATGGCCAGACTTCATCTCTCATACTTTGGATATATTTTCAGGAAGTACCAGTCACTGGAGAGGGATATCATGTTTGGTAAAGTAGAGGATTGGATCCAAGAAAAAGAGGAAGACCCCCATCGAGATGGATTGGCACAGTGGCAGCAGCAATGGACTCAAATGTAGCAACGAATGAGAGAGAGAAGACTCCTGTCCTGGTGTAGCATTGTAGAATAAGCACCCTATGGCTATCCCCTCAGGCACTCCTCAAGTACCCGATTCAGGGCTGCTGAGTCAGAACTGACTCACCAGCACTTCACAAAAGAATATATATATTCTCCAGGACTTTGCTATAATTCCATTGCTTACAATGAAAATTCTTATTAATAATCTAACAATGCTATTAGGCTTAGAGATGACTATGGAGATCCCAATGGCTGACTATATATATATATAATCTCCATGTTGTTGTTGTTGTTGTTAAGTGCCATCGAGTCGGTTCCGACCCATAGCGACCCTGTACAGGGTTTCCAAGGGTGTAAATCTTTACGGGAGTAGAAAGCCTCATCTTTCTCCTGCGGAGCGGCTGGTAGTTTCGAAACGCTGACCTTAAGGTTCGCAGCCCGATTCGTAACCACTACGCTACCAGAGCTCCATGGTCATCTCTAAAAGATTATTTTCAGTCTATTTGGTTTTTTTCTTTATCGTCAGTTTCTTGTGATCAATATTTGGAGGTATCATTCAAATGGACACACTAATTATTTTTCATTGTCAGTTAGTTTTGGTAGTATGTTGATTCATTCCTGTTATTAAGTGCATTCTTCCTGGGTCCAGATCTCAGTTAATGAGACAGAGAGGACAACTTGTGGGCTCACTTGCTTTGCTGGGACTGCTGTTTTATAGTTGGCTCTTCTCAGCTTGTGTCAAGATATTAAATGTCTGTCACTCAGATACTGGTGTGAGGTTAATGGCCTTCCACTGATTTCTGTTCTCTCTTACCTCTGAGTATCATCATAGGTCATTAATTGTTGATTCTGAGAAAGGGATGGATGTGATACCAATGCTGGCTCACAGTGTGATATACTGTAATTAAGAGTATGAAATTTAAATGTTTTATTTTTTAGCTAGTGTTTAAGTACAACAACATTCCATACTACTGAAAATTTCTCGAATGGCTAAAAATTAAGCATAGTAAAACAGGCCTTTATTCCCAACAAGAATGACATTCATGCAGATTAATTTTAGGAAATCAGTTAAACTATGCTTTAATTTCTTGACATAAAATTTGTTGTTCGATTTACATATAATACTTGATAATCTGTTTTTCAAGTGGTAATTTAGGCTAAAATCAGAAAGAGATTAAGAATGTAATGGAGGTTGGGAATAAAGAATAGTGACAGAGATGGATCTGTGGCCATTTTTTAAAAGTTGACAGCTGAGACAATAACAAAGAAGCAAAGTGAGGGCAAAGAAAAAGCTAATGCAAAATGAAACAAAACAGCATGGCCTTTCTGGAAAGTGTCTCTGTGATCGTGCATGATTAGTAACTAAAGGGAAAAGACGTACCTGTAGAAAAGTAGTAATTCATTGCTAGTCCCAAACCCACTGCCACATAGTTGATTCCAACTCATAGGGACCTTGTACAGGGTTTCTGAGACTTTATATCTTTACTGGAGCAGAAAGCCTTCTCATTCTCCAGTGCAGCAACTGATGGGTTTGAACTGTGGACATGGTGGTTAGCAGCACAGTGCATATCCCACAGTGCCACCAGAGCTCTTCTTTTGCTAGTGCTTTGCTATGCTAAATGCTGTTGACTCCATACCAACTCAGATGTCCGATGACAGCTGGTGGGCTTGAACTACTGATCTTACGGTTGGCAGTTCAATTTCACCAATCACTCCTTACAGACCCTATACAGGGTGGCTCTGAGTAAGAACCGACTCTACTGCATTTACAATAACTAAGGAGCTCTGGTAGCATAGTGGATATGAATCAGGCTGCGAACCACAAGGTCAGTGGTTCAAAACTACCAGCTGTGCCATGGGAGAAAGATGAAGCTTTCTGCTCCCGTAAAGATTTACAGCCTCAGAAACCCTGTACAGGGTCGCTATGAGTCGGAACCAACTCCACGGCACATAACAACAACAACATACATAATAAAAGTACATTTTTATACTTTGAATTTGGGATGTTGTATCTTCAAACACCTTATCTAAAATGACTTCTTTTTGTTTTGTCTGTATTTAATGATTAAATCACTTATTAGTAATCTTTTCTCATAACTTTGATGTTTCCTTAACTACTGTCACTTACTTAAGTAGTCGGTTTCTGGAAATCTGAGCCAGAATGACTGTGACTGTGCTTTTAAAAAAAAAAATGAGTCCTGTGTTAAAAGTATACATTACAAGTTACTAGGGAATCATTTTGATTTTATGAGTCAAAAATAGTAAGGTAGAAAATAAACATTACAACATGATTCAATGGGAAAAGCATTTCTTGATAGATTATTTCCTGGTTTGATTAGTTCTTTAATCTTTATTCTTAGTAGTATTATAGATAGAGTTCAGATAATCTATTTATTGGCATCATCTTTTCAGGGCAAAAGGTGTGTTTTGCTGATTTAAAGCATCCCTGCTACAAAATGGCCTACTTCCATGAGCTGCCCAGCAGAGTGAGCTTTCAGGAGGCACGCCTAGCCTGTGAGAGTGAGGGAGGAGCCCTTCTCAGCCTTGAAAATGAAGCAGAACAGAAGCTAATAGAAATCTTGTTGCAAAACCTCACAAAACCAGGAACAGGAATTTCTGATGGTGATTTCTGGATAGGACTCTGGAGAAATGGAGATGGACAAACATCTGGCGCCTGTCCAGAGCTCTACCAGTGGTCTGATAAAAGCCATTCTGAGTACCGGTGAGTACAGATGCTACGAAGCTGACTGATGCTCTGAGGGACTCTGGAATCCCTTAGTGGAGCAAATGGTTAACATGATTGGCTGCTAACTGAAAAGTTGGGAGTCCAGTCCACCAAGAGGTGTCTTGTAAGAAATACTTTGTAATCTAATTAAAATTAGCCATTGAAAACCTAATAGAACACAGTTATACTCTGGCACATGGAGCCAGTGTGCACTGGAATTGACACAATGGCAACTGACTGGCTGGGGGACATTATAAAATGTAAAAAGAGATTCGGTTACATATAGAGGGTATTAGAATATAACTGGAAATGTCAGTTAGAAGTTACGTTTTGAAATATTTCTGCTCCTATTTGTTCGCAGAAACTGGTACACAGATGAACCTTCCTGTGGAAGTGAAAAGTGTGTTGTGATGTATCATCAACCAACTGCCAATCCTGGTCTTGGGGGTCCCTATCTTTACCAGTGGAATGATGACAGGTGCAATATGAAGCATAATTATATCTGCAAATATGAACCAGGTAGGAATTATTATATAAGTGGAAACAATGAATTCTCTTCACATTTGTATTGGGCTTATTGTCTTTAGGATTTAGCCTTCAGTTAACTTTGTTTTTCTGCTATAAGAAATGGAATTACTTTGTAGCTTGTCATACCACTTAGTGTAAATTGCACACTGAGTTAAACAGAAGGGAGTATATAGACACATCTAGAGTGATATCTTTGAGAGATAACAGTCATTTCTGATGTGTTCTTTTAAACAGATTTAAGGAAGAATAAATACGTATTTTAAAAATAATTTAAACACTCAATATAATGCATGAAAAATAGCATAAGTCACCAAAGTACCTGTAGATATATGCATCTGATCAACAGCTTTTTAGATTACTGTGCAATAAATTTAAGGCTATAAAGACCTTTCTCATGGAACATTAGCTTTTCATTTCATGATATAATTCTTGGCATGCAGTTCTCAACGGAAGTCATAGTGATCATAGCTAATTGCACCATGGTGAGTAAAACTAGAGACATGGGACAGACTTGTCCTATGATTTTTGTTCTCATTTGATGTCTCCTCAGTTAACTTTTCAGATTCTGAATGGAACAAAAATTGTAGTCAACTACTAACTGAAAAGTTGGCTATTCTAATCACCCAGCACTATTTTGAAAGAAAGTCTTATGATTTAAATCTGCTTCCAAAAGACCATAGCCATCTGAAACCTTGTGGAACACAGTTCTACTTTGATACACATGGGGTCACCTTGAGTAAGATTTAATTCAATGGCAGTGAGTAGTTCGCTCTTGTTTGAAGCCTCCAAAGCCTTACCATATGAAGCAATTGGGATCGTTGTATTGACCTGAACTCCTCTGGTGTAGTTTCCTGTTAATATGGTAAATTTGAATTACTTTTAATAGAATTTTTTGTTGTTAAATGCTGTCAAGTCTGTTCCAACTCATAGTGACCCTGTTTAGAATTTCCAAGGAGTGGTTAGTGAGTTTGAACTGCCGACTTTGTGGTTCAAACCAATCTTGAGGTCAAGTACTTATCCTATGATGCCTCACCAGGATACTTTTAATATAATAGCTAAACTGAATTGATATCCAACCAAAAAGGACTAATCAGAACTCTGAAACTTTTTTTATTATCTAAGAAACTTGAGCTTTGAGAATTTTCTGCCTCTTTTCTGCCTTCTCTGTGTTTGGAAATGCCATTTTAATACTTTTGAAAGGCTGTCTGATTGACTTCATGATGTATGTTCATGGGAGGCTTTTTTTTTTTTTCTTTTCATGTTTTATTGTGAATTATATATTTTACATGGGAGAACTTTAGTTTTACATTTATTCCACCGTACATCATTTCATTGCCATGGTTCCAATCCCCTCCATGCATCATCAACCTACCAAAGGTTATACCCTATAAACCAGCCCCCTATACTCTCCCCCTTCCCCCACCATTCTTCAGCACACAGTCACTCTCCCTCTCTGGATCCAAAGTCCCCAGCCGCTTCATCAATCCATCTCTGCCTCCATCTCGGGCCTCACTGCTTCTCTGGGTAGGGTCCCGCTCTCGGCTCTTCTCCGTTGATGGCCCTGGAGACCTCTGCTCCTAGACTAGAGAGTTAATCACTCCCTTCCTTGCTACAAAACGTCTACCTTTACATTTCCAATCCTCCCAATCAGTCCTGATAACAATTATTCACTATTGTATCACAAGTGACCCTTCTGCCTTTCATTTCATCAGCTCCACCTAGACAGATTGGGTAGTACTCACTGGAGATTCTGCCTTCATGGGAGGCAATTTTAATTAAGTAGTGATGCTTCCATTGCTCTCTTGAAATTACATGATTCCCTTTCTCTTAAAACTGCAAAGCATAGGGGATTATTTGGATTAGATTTATCCTCTTATTATTATCTTCCTCTTCAGTATATTAGCCAACTTTTTACATCCCTGGTGAGTTTGTTCTTTAACCCCCTTGGTTGCTAAATCCACCATTGTACTCTTGAAAGCCTTTGAAAAGATAAATTTATTATGTACTTATGCTCTTTCATTTTATTGTTATTTTCTTAGAAAAACATAAAGCTGAAATTCTCAGTAATTTTAAATTATGACACTCTATGTAGTTCAAACTGTTTAAATAAAGCACAATGCATGTAATAGAGTGTTATTTATACAGTATTGTACTCTCCTTAAAACTCTTGGATGGATTATTTGATCCTACATATATACTATTTTGATTTTTTTCATTCAAACTTGCCCTTCAAGACACAATGAACCCCATAAGTCATCTTTAGTCGTTACGTATGAGGTAATCTATATTTATATTACTCATTTAAAGAATACTTAGAAGATAAAATTAATTTGTCTTTATCTTTTATATTTTACCAATATCTTTGGTTAATATATACTTTATGAATAGTAACATTATGTGCTTACCCTTTAAGTAAAATACACAGTTTAACCATTGACCTTATTCAAGTGTATATTATTTCAGTCTTTATTTTAATTTTTAGTCTTTCCATCTTTATCTAATTTCCTTTTAGTTAGCCTTTCTTTAGTTTAATGTCAGGTTTGTGAAGTACTATCAGGCTGGTTAAGCTTCCTTGCTTATGTAATTGGTTGACTTTTAATGGTAAGTAGAGAGAACTCAGCAGTGTGAATAACGAATTCAAAATTATAGGACTAACTATTTTTAACTTTATTCTCCACTTATATCAGACCTACTGAGTGATTTGAGCTTTGTCTCTCTTTCTGTTCCTAAACCCATTGCCCTTGAACCAATTCAAAATCATGGTGACCTTATATACTTTAAAATAGAGCTATCTCTAAAATCAGAATAAAGGGATTTTCTTAGTTATTATCTCAACAAAAGCAAATGTCTAGGCCTTCTTCAGTACTGCTGGGTGGGTTTGTATCAACACTAAATGTCAGTTTCTTTTTATTTTGATCCGCACATTTTAAAATGTGTACAAGAATAACAAATATTACTATGGGATGGGCACAGTTTAATGCACAAAAATGAGAGATAGTGAGATTGTTTTAGAACATTTTATTTAAAATGCTCTAATATTCAAAAGATGCTGTATGTGTTTTATCTTTTTATCTATTGACAAAAGAAACCAGAATTGCTACATGAAGCAAATGAAAACATATTTTCACGTTTATTCTTGTTCAGTGTATATTTATTGAACTATTAATTCAATCCTGGAGGTAGGGGATAGAACAGTATCAGATCATATTAGGAAACTCCAATACTTTTTTATGCATGTGCCAATGGAAAAGATTTCATTATAAAACCAGGAAAAGAAGCTTCTTGCACAGTTTAGTTTATTATTATTTTTTAAAAGGTAGACACTATTAGAAAGCAGATCTAATGACTTTTGAGATTCAGAATGTTGCTACTTGAATTACCATTTCCGAATGCAATCTCCGTACATCCATCTGTTTATTGTTATTACAAAGAGAAACATAAAAATTAAATTGATAGGTAAAGAAGGAGCTTAGTGGTTCCATATGATAAGCACTGGACTGACACACAAGGGCCACAGCTCATGCCCACCAGCCACTCCATGGGACAAAGATGAGGTTTTCTACTCCTACAAAGATTTAAAACCTCAGAAACCTTATATAGGGCCACTATAAATCAGAACTGACTTCAGAACACTTTACAACATCAACAGAACATGGGTAAAAAGACAATCTGTGCTTTTCTTTGAAGCACATTTACTGTTTCTCATTTCTTTGTTTGCCAATCTTGCTTTTCTTTGTATAGCTTTCTGGTTGTTTTGCTATTATTGCTAGTAGCAGGGGCCAAAAGATTGTCAACCCAGGCCCCCTACTGATTGCTAAAATACATCTTTGGGTTGCAACAAGTAATTTTCCAAGTGGATATTTTACTCAAAGATAACTAAATATTGACTTTATAAATTTTTGACTATGTATAAATTCAGTATATACATATTATAACTGAAAACTGTTCAGAAACCAAATCATTTATATTGTTTTATAACATTTTATTTTATTTTATATAATATAATTTTGCATTTCTCTTGTTTATCATTATTTACAATGCCTGTATTTTATTATTTACAGAAATTAATCCAACAACCCCTGTTGAAAAACCTTACTTTACAAATCAACCAGGAGACACCCATCAAAATGTTGTTGTTACTGAAACAGGTAATTAGTTCACATATCTTTAATTCTGCATCAATAACAGAAACTATGCTTTAAAATTTGCATCAAGTTGACTCAGTGAAAATTTTTACTTCTGATTATGTGACACTGTGGGTTAATTCACCAGACTGCAAAGCTGTTTGAACTGCAAGGTCGGTGGTTCAAGCTAACAAGCTGCTCCTTGAAAACCCTAGACAGGGTCCCTATGGGTCGGAACCGACTCAACAGCACGTCACAACACCAACAATAAACATCAGCTTTAGGTTAGAGCAAACGATATTAAACTAATCTTTAAACAAAAAAAACCTGCTTTATTTTCTTCAGATCTTTACCTCAAGTGTATGCATATGGTGCTAGACTAAGTAATTTGCATTAAAATCTGGATCTACAGGAATTCCCTCAACAACATGTAGTCATGATGTAAATTAGTACATTCACTGGTCTGCAAACAGTAGTGTACTTTTAACTATTTAAAGACTGACTGAGACTGGGAGGGAGAGAAATAAAGTGTAAGGCCCTCATTTTTTTTAATTTTTTTTTTGGTGTAAATACTGTAACACTAGCTGATTCTCAGTGAACAACAGGTTAGAAAGAAGTGTATGAAAAGCACTGTCAGCAAAAGTAAGGTTATTTACTGTGAATGATGGAAGGGTCAATCATTCAAAACCAAAAGGCAACATGTACCCAAGGACAAAGTTGAGAATGGATAGAAAGGTGGATGGAATGGCCGTAGGAACCACGGGGAGAAAGCAGAATAACAGTTATTCCACAGAGTGAAGTGTAATTATTGAGATGAAGCAAAGTGTGTTATATGTTGAATGTAAAACTGATAGTCTTGTCTGTAAACCTTCACTCAATTCACAGTAAAACATTCTAAAAAAGAAAGAAAATAAAAAGAGAGAAGAGTCTGAGTAGCGAGGAAATTAAGTACAATCTCCAATGCAATTAGTCAGACATGATGGTCAGTATCAGTTATAAGTTCTTCCTCAGCTTGACAATGAGACAGAATCTTATTCATCCTATTTGCTTTGTGACTCATAGTTTAAAAACCAATTCACATACAATATAAAATCCATGAAAAACTTGAAAATGCATTCTCTCTTTCCTACACTTTGTAAGGGATCATAATGACATTTTAAAGATAAAGAGAGTATTTCCTGAGTCTTTAAAATACTTTTTGAAAACTGGAAACAGTGGGTGGAAGTTTAGCAAATGATCCACAATATACTACATCACTGGGCTTCAGTTACTATGGGAGAAGTGATGTATACTTAGATGGATCTAAGTCTAATCCATTTTTACCAGAATTGTATTGATTAATAATGATGACAACTTTTAATTTACTAGCTATATGCACATTTCTTCAATTTGCTTTTATTTTATGAAATAATATTAATCTTTATAGGTTTTCACTTTTTTAAAAGCCTGATCATAGTAGAGAATAAATATGCTTGATATAGTAAAAATATTAGTAATTCAGTACATTAAGAAAGTTTATCACTTATGACATTGACAAAGTTTAATATAGTCAAAGTTTAGTATAGTTAAGATGTATGGGACTTCAGTGTGACAGTTGTTCATAATTTAACTAAGAGCACCTAACATTATTGTGATGGAACAGGATTAAAAAATAATTTATTTTGGAATTTAATTAAGATCAAGTCTTTGTCCCTCTGGAATCTTGTGTCTCTTGGTTATGACTTTATTATCAGTTAATATATATATATATGTTTAATTCCAGAGTTGCTTATGTATTACTGTGACACTGAACTTTCTAGCTAAGATAAATACTTATCCCCAAAGTCAAAGATTATTTTAATAATAATTATTTTTTAATAATCAGTACTATTTTTCTCTCTAAATAGTAAGAATATTCATAAAATGAGATAGATAAGATTACTAATATATTATTAAAACTAGCCATTATCTGAACTACAGATTTAATAATAACATAAAAAATATGAATGATGAGTTGATGTATAACAATTAGTGTAGTATACTTTTGTTTTTAATTTTTACCAAAACATAAATATATTACTTTATTACATTATTCAGTATTTTGGGAAGAACCTCCTTGGAAATTTATTTGTTGATAAAAATTCTGTTATGCCTTACATTTTAATTTTTTTAGAAGATGTATATAACTCTGGTGTTAGAATCCTGGCTCAGCTATGTTTGCACATTAAGACCTCCTTCTTTTGTAGGCATAATCCCCAATCTAATCTATGTCGTTATACCAACGATTCCACTGCTCCTATTGATACTGGTTGCTTTTGGAACCTGCTGTTTCCAGATGCTTCATAAAAGGTAAATAATTCACATATGTAGAGACAAACTGAAAAATCTTGAATAGGTCTTCAGAACACATTTAAAATATTACTATAGAAAACATTTAATTTATCTCAAGTAAATTTTGATATCCATATTATCTGGTACAACCCAGTCTATACAACAAAATATGCCTCAACTATATGATTCATGCATTATGTCATTTAATTTTCACAAGTCATATTAAGTAGGTATATACCTGTTTCTGGTAGCGTAGTGGTTACGAATCGGGCTGCGAACCACAAGGTCAGCAGTTCGAAACTACCAGCAGTTCCACGAGAGAAAGATGTGGCTTTCTGCTCCCGTAAAGATTTACAGCCTCGGAAACCCTGTACAGGGTCGCTATGAGTCAGAACCGACTCCACGGCACACAACAACAACAATACCTGTTTCAATTTTTCAGCTGATAACAAGGTAGGTTAGATAAGTCAGACAATTTCCATGGGATACGTAACTGGTGTGTGGGTTGTAAAGTGCTATGAAGTTGGTTTCAACTCACAACAATCCTGTGTAGGGTTTTCAAAGTATAGCTGGTAGATTTGAGCCAACGAATTTATAATTAGCACTCCAGTGCTTATCCTACAGTGCCACACTAGGACTCTTACAACATATACCATTGTACAATGTGGGGCCTCTTATTTGTTAGGAATAGACAATAATGCTATTCCTTTTACTCTTGACCTCAAATTGTATAGAAAGAGTCCTACTGCAGCACTGTAGGGCAAACACTGGACTGCTAACCACAAGATCAGCATTTCAAACCCACCAACCACTCTTGGAAACCCTATATAGGGATGCTATGAGTCAGAGCCAACCACAGCACACAACAACAACAGTGGTGTAGTGACTTTTCAAAATCCTAAGGCATATGCTTCTATTTTATTTCAAAAGGATTATTTAAGAAGAGGAAATAAAATTAAATGCTAAAAACGTGTTATTTTTTACAAGAATTTTGAAATCCAGTATGCTTTCACAGTAAAATTTCTTGAGGATAGGCTGACCTTTATATATGCTTATCCATAACCTAGAGTTAGTGGTAAAATTTTTTCTGACTTTCTGCTTGACAAATATATTGTTGTTAAGTGACATCGAGCTGGCACCAACTCATAGTGACCCTATGCACAACAGAATGAAACACTACCCATTCCTGCACCAACCTCACAATCATTCCAAAACCTCAGGCCATTGCTGCTGCCACTGTACCAATACATTTCATTGGGGGAGAAGGGTCTTTCCCTTCTTCTCCGACCCTCTACTTTACCAAACATGTTATCCCTCTCCAGGGACTGGTCTGTCCTTACAATATATCTGTATGAGAGATGAAGTCTGGACATCCTGGCTTCCAAAGAACACTCTGGCTGTACTTATTCCAATATA